CACATCATGGATGTGCAGCCAACAGAGCAGCACCTTTTCAAAACTATGCCATGGAGAACTAGAGCAGTTCTGAAGGTAAAAGTGGGTCCAGCCTGTTACAGGCAAGGTGTCCTTAATAAAGTGTCCAGTGAGTGTAAGTTGCATAGATTTCAAACAGATGTCAGCGTTAATTTTATATTCGACTGGTTGCTCCAGCAAATTCAGCCCAAGAGCTGATGTGCCAGTGGAAGTCACACCTGCTGTGAGGCATGGTGGTGGAAATGTCATGCTTTGGGGCTCATTGCCATGTCAACGGATGGAGAGCTAGAAAACTATCGGCATCATATCAAACTGCTTGAAGAAAGCTTGAAGGCATGTCTGAAATTTGAAATTGAGACTAAAGTGGAACTTTCAACAATGGTTCTAGGCATGTTAGATCATCCACAGGTGGGAACAGGAGAGCCGAAGCCCACTAAAATGAAGACATTTATCACAGAAGAGTGGTCAAAAGTTTCAGCAAGCCAGTGTTAGAGGCTGATGGATTAGTTTGTTTCTGTTAATTAGTGCGATACACCACAAGTACTAGACATCTATGGACATTAGGTTACATCTGGTCGGCCAGTCATTAACTCTAAAAAGACGTCCTGTTACAATTACATTTACTACTTGAAAAGTCATCTTTTAAGGATATTAATAGCCCAGTTACCATGATACATACATTTACCTATACCCAATGAGCAGTTTTCTACTGATCTGTGACACAGGTGTGTCTATGAGTTTGTCCTTTCTGTAAGAGAAGCTGAGGTGTTGGGTGACAACAGCTAACATTTTCCAGGTAAGTTCCTGGTGTACCAGTTAATTTCCCAGTACCAAGAACTACCCACAGGCCACAGAATCATCAGGACATACTGGGTGTGTTTGTGTTTTTGTCACCTTGAGAGACTCCAAGTTCTGCTGAAACTCCTGCAGCTCTCTCTCTCCGGTCCGTATCCTCCCCTGGACCATCCTCTGAGACTCCTGGAGCTGGAGCTGACAGACAAACAGACAAACAGATGGAGAGGTGGACAGACAAACAATAAGAGAATAAGACATCCATGCAGATATTTAACAAGAGCATTTTTACTGCATTCGGGGGAATAACTGTCCATGTGGTGAAAGCTCGTAAAATATCTCATATAACACAGCTGTTATACAAGTGCCTTATCGTTTAAAAGACTGATAACTGTTCATAAGCAACATCGTTAATAAATGCTAAACTGAGAGGTAATTACTAACTAATTGTTAGTTGGCTTGCAAACCACCATTGAAAATTATCTGGATGGTTACTGGAAATTGCAGCTTTGGAAAGTGCTAATAAAATACTCCACAGCACACCCACAAACATCATGTGGATGGCTATGATAAAGGTGAAACTGATATTAATAAGCGGTGTTTTCAGTGCGGTTGGGTTGGGTTTAGGAACCAACAAACTACACTGTTAGGATTTTCCTAAACCTAACAAATCAAATTATTTGCAAACATAATGAAAGGACATGTATGCTCATTATGCTCAGGTTTAACTGTAAAGTATGGATGCA